ACAAAGCAGCAATTCTACATATTAAAGGTTTTTTTTAATGGAAACATTTTAACATCCAAATGATATTCCTGGATTCATAGTATTTTGGTAGAATACTTGTCTAAATCTAACTTAGTGGATATTTGGCAGTCTACTAATCTTTTTTAATGAGGATGTAGTTTGCTTTTTCCACACACATATTGTTCTAAGCTAGTTTTTTCCCCTCTGCTAATTCATTTTTTGATATCTAAAATTAATGCTTTGATATAGATGTTAATACAATTTCCAATCATGCTTCTGTGAAACTTACAGCTTTTTAAATGGTTCTTTAATGTGTCTTGAAGGATACAAATTTTATAAAGCAGATAGCAATGCCTTGGTATGATTCAGTGGTGGGTTTCAAATTAACCCACCGATTCGCTGCATCCATGCATGCGCAGCTTTCACCGTGCGGCAAAGCTCAACAAAGCAGCCTTTCGGGGCCTGCCCTGCTGCCCTCCTCTCTGCTCTCCGGGACAGTGGCTGCTTCTCTCCACTGCTGGTCTTGCTGGGAGGGCAGACTGCAATTTAGCAGCTGTCAGCCGCCGCTTTGAGTCCTCTAAGTCCGACCCAGAAAGCACTGAGGCACAGAGAAGCAGCAGTCGTGTTGAATGCTGTTTCTCTCAATTGCAGCGCTTTCCAGATGGGACTTAGAGCAGTGGTCGCCAACCAGGTGGGCCGTGAGAAAATTTTGGTGGGCCCCAGAGAAATCTCACCCTCAGAGCACCCCCCCAAAGCAATTAATCCAGGCTGTGCAGAAACACAAGGTTTAAAACAAATTAGTAAAATGATATTGTGCCATCTATTCAGGGTACACAGTGGAATGTGTCATTAATTTTTTTGAATTTGATTCACAACACACTAATCAAACAAAAAATTAGATTTTCTTTTGCACTAAATTGTTTTACCATATTGATATCAGGATATAGTTATTAATTCACTGAAAAATCTGTTATTACAAATAAACTTACAGTATAAAACTGGTGAGTCATTTCCATTGGATTTGTTTAAAAGTATATGGGGCTTTTGTCATACCTTGCTAGAGTTGCATGGTAAAGTCCCTGACTTTCAAATTTTAATGAGCTATCATAGATATTCTAAATATGGCACAATATTCTAATGATGCCTTCAAACTACAGTGGATTTATACAGGTCTGTAAAATTTCTAACAATATCAGACAATAAGAAACAGGCAAGAACCAGAGCTATAATTTCAGTGCATTGATAACATTTTCTTGGAAATGTATGAAGTCTATGTTAACATGTTATACATTGCTTCAAAGTTTTATATTTAGGATTCATAAAACGCATGCAATCTCTAAGAATGAATATTAACTTATATTGATAAAGCTTATATTAACTTAAACTTATAAAGACTTATGCCCTAAGATGCCCTGTTCTTTTCTTCTACTTTGCCTTTATAATAACTTAGTTATATAATCAGAAATTCTAAAAATATTATGGCAATCACAGTAGACTTTGATGTAATGAGCAAGATGAAATAACAAATATGAATTCTAGTCCCTCTTTGGGCATGAGAGTTGGCAAGGTAGCCTTTGGCCAGAAACTCTGCTTGAATATAGACTAGGACTTGGATTTTCCTGTTCAACTCCTTAATTACTACACCACCCACTGGCTATGTGTAAATGCGCATGTATATAAATCTTATGTAATCATTTGGAACTCTTTATTTTCCTTCAGACTTTGGACAAAGAACTCATTTGTGACAGAGAAGTTTCATCTTGTTTATAACACAACAAAGGAAGGATAACTTGCTAACCATTGGAGCATGGTGGTACAGTGGTTAGAATGCAGTACTGCAGACTAATTCTGCTGACTGCCAGCAGTTTGATTCTCACTGGCTCAAGGTTGACTCATCTTTGCATCTTTCTGAGGTTGGTAAAATGAAGACCCAAATAGTTGAGGACAATATGCTGACATTGTAAACCATTTAGAGAGGGCTATAAACACTATAATGCAGTATCTAAATTTAAATGCTATTATTTGTAGCAATTCATTGATTATGCATATGTGGCTAGGAAGTGGTTGGTGTAATAAGTATTTTTACAATTGTTCTCTTTACAACGTATTTTACAATTATTGGATTTTCTTCTCTGGACAGATATTTAATAAAATTCTCAGTATTTATTGCCCTGTTTTGCTATAAAATACAAAGTTAGTACAGCAGGAGGGTCTCATTCCCTTCTCCTCTTCACAAACTTTAAACTATATATGCAGAAGGTCATGACCCAATCACACTCCAATTGATAGTCAATATATCGTAATGATTATTGTTCTGCTAGGACTAGAGATCCCATTTAGCTAAAAGTTTCATGTGCTGATTGTAGCCACTCAAATGTCATGTGAATGAATTTGGTGATAACATGCTCTTAGAATTCAATAAATGTAAACATGCAGTTAAATCAAATATACTTTTAATTAGAAAAGGTAATGTGCTTTTAATGTCATAAACAATTTATTCCTTTATCATAGCAGTAGCTTTTATCATGAATGCAGAATATTTTATTTTTAGACTTCTTCAGTAGAAACTTTAACTTTGACTTATGACCATTTGTTTAGCAACCATTTGAAGTTATGACAGTGCTGAAAAAAGTGATTTACCTGCATTTTTTGCACTGTAAGATGCTCCAGAACTTAAGATGCACCTAGCTTTTGGGGAGGAAAACAAGAAAAAAAAATCTGCCCCTGCCTCCCAGCATCCATTGGTATTCATCTGGCTAGCATTCTTGCAGTAAATAGCAAACAGCCTGAACACCTTCAGCACGTGATCACAGCCCGATTCAGCATCAGCAGGTGATTGGCGGTTGGATCGGCCTCCCGGAATACCACCAATCAGCTGTTCCAGGTGGTGGGAATCACTACTGTTCGCCACTGATCGTCACTGCCGCCTATTGCCTATATGATCAGTGGCGACAAATGGCAAAGTGGTAATCCCCGCCACCTGGAACAGCTGATGGGCGGTATTCGAATGCCGCTGCTGCATCATCCCCCCTCCCCCCCGCAATGTTCACTCCATAAGACACAAAGACATATCCACCCACTTTTTTTTGGTGGGGGAGGGGGAGTGCATCTTATAGAGCAAAAATATGGTACAACCAGTCCTCATACTTATGAGACGGATACAGAGCTTGCAGTCACATGATCGTGATTTGGGCACTTGGCAGCCAACATGAATTTACAACTGTTTCAGTATTCCAAGGTCATGCAATCACCATTTGCAAGTTTCCCAGTCAGATTCCAACAAGCAAAGTTGTTGAGGGAAGCTCAATTTGCTTAACAACCATGGCAAAAAAGATTGTAAAGTTGGTTGCGGTCATGTCATGACTTAGTTAACTGCATCATGGTGGAAGTTCTGGTCCCAATTGTAGGGTAAAGTCCACCACAACCTGTACTTTCAGGTATACTTGGAAACATGTATGGTTTCTAAAATTAAATATTCAGTTCCCAATTGAAGCCATATAGCCGTGTCACTTAATTTTGCTACAGCTTTCCAATGCTTATTTGGTAAATACAATAATCTACAATCTCATACCTAGGATTTTTTTTCTACTTAGCATTGGAAGGGCAGAGAAAGAAATCAGGATAGTACCTGCTCAGTTTTAAGAATAAATACAGGGACCAACCGTAACCAGTTTTGAAACTGTTTAAACCTAAACATTAACTGAAAGCAGAAATGTGTTGATAAATATACTTTTCTCAAAGCTTGTTATAATAATTTGAGACATTCCTCCCGCCACCCAAATCCATATGTTGTTGAAGTGCAAAAATGAATATTTAGACATTCTTTTATTAGATACAAATTACTTTTGTATCTAATGCTATCCTATATCTAAAACACTATGCAGCATGGGCACTGAATTGCCATTATTTAATATGGTTGTTTTCAGGTAAGTAGCTATAAGATTGCAATCTCAGAGTTCGTCTGATTCAGCTAAGGATATCTGTGTATATAAGAAAGTCTGGAAATATGAATATAAATTTTCATTGCCTAAGAATATCTGACTGCGTTTTTTTTCCTCTAAGATAGAATATATATTACAAAACGTAACTCTTGTCCACATGAACCTCAAGGAACCAGATACAATCTATTTCGAAAATGCAACTAGAGCAGAGCCAGGAAGTTTGCTTGACTATTTTTTTTCAACTCTGGCCACAACCAATTCACAATTTTTGGTGGGGGCGCAGGGAGGAAAACATTTTCATACGATAAGAATTTGAAATTGAATTTCAACTACTAGCACTGAGTCAAGTAGCATTTTAGCCAACAGTGAAATTAAGAAGTTTTTCTTACTTCCTAGGGGAGGGGGAACACAAATGTGTTTTAAAATTTGCTTCAAAAGCCTGACAAATGCAACCGTGCTTAACAGCAGTATACACACATACATAGTGCCAGAGAATACACGCTACTGAATGCAAACAAGAAACTAAAAAAGTACTTTTCCTTTCTTGTTAGTTTATGTTGTAAGTAAAATGATTAATGCAATAAGAAATATATTCTACATCTAAAAATGAAATAATGTGGAACATAAATATAAAAATTCCAAAGGGAGCTTACTTGAAAGGTTTTCAGTTGTGCTTATATCACCCATTTCTGAAGCTATTCTCCCACTTTGTAAGCACAAATAATTTCCTAGAAATATACTGGGTGCTCTTCTTCTATAGATTGTCACAGTGAAGTACTGTGCTGGCATTAATTTTAGTTGTTTCAGGAAAGCAAACATGAAAAGATTACACAGTGCCAGTATCATCATTAAATTATAATTGAATGCATAATTTTGTTCATATAAGTCCAACTGGTTACAGTAGCCTTGAACACAACCCATAATTAGAATACACATTTTAGCCACTTTTCAGTCTTTCCTGTAATACAGCTAACAAAGCACATAATCTGTGAAGGCACTAAAATTATTGTCTCTAAAGCCAAGAACTCTTGTAAAATGTTTTCTCTGTGCACTGAAAGTTTAAATAAAATTTAGCATTATAGATATTTGGAGTTATTCTTAACTCAAGGCTATTTGACAGTTGCTTTTCTACTTAGTAGTATGCACATATAACAGTAGTAAACACCAATTCTCATGTTTGACCAAAGCCCTTACCAAAAAACAATATTCATGGTAGAGTCAACAACTATATTATCTGAAGATATCATTTTTTTCTGGGAGATGTAACTAATAATACAGCCAATTTACTATGCAGTATTTTTCCTTGGAGATGGTAAACACCACCTTACAATTCATTAAGAGATATTTGCCACATAAAACTGAGCAATAAATGACCTATTGGGAGCAGCCTTACCATCTTAATATCAATGTGAGAAATAGATCTCAAAATATTTATAATTCAGATTGTGATAAAGTGCCTATTTGTAATCAGTCAACTATTGCACTTATGGGGACTAGGAAACATTTTAAACTTTCCTGTTCCAAGACAATTAGCATTCAAATTATTGTATTGTTATTTAATGTTAAGGTCCCAAGCATAAGGTGGCCTTTTGAAAATTCTGGGTACTTTACTTTCTGAGTTTCTTATTCCCTGTCACAACAAAGTAATCATCATCCTGTTTTGACTTTACTGTGGAACCGTTTAACCTAATCTGTGTCCCTTTAGTTGGAACAGTTGTAGCTTTTCCTTTTAAAATGGGATCCTTAGTGGTTGAATCCAGGCCTTTATCATTCTTCTGGGAGACTTTGACCTGTGCCTGACTTTTGACTGTCTTTTTCCTTATGGTCGAGGTTTGAGGAAGACGCACAATAGATAATGGCATACGATCAGAATGTGTTGTTGCATCAGTTGTTACCTGTATTTTCATCCTGCTATTTTGAACTGGTCTCTTCTTGGCTGAAGAATTATTATTAACAGATGAAAATGAATTTTTACTCTTTACATCTAATGTAGATGTCTGCTCAGTTGTTTTATCATTTGTAAGAGAAGAATTCGAACTTTTGGGGCTAAGAGCAGTTTTCTGTTTGGTTTGTTTAGTTTCCAATTTCCCTCTGTGTGAGTAAAACTGTGTGGGTAATGTTTGACTACTATTTTGGGAAATTATTTTTGTAGGCATTGTAGAAGATGTTTGAGGGGAAGATGGCTTAGACACATGTAAATTTCTATTAATTGTCTTTGCCGATTTTGCTGAGGTTTTTGAAAGAGGCTTACATTTGGCTACATTTTTGAGCCCAGCTGCATTATTAGGAGAATGATGTTCTTCTAGGGAGCCTACCCTTGTAGCTGTTTCAGGCAACCTGGAAAGTTTATTGTTTGAACAACTTAGAGTAGAATGTTGTACAGTTGGAGAGTTTTGGGAACATGCAGACTTGAAAGATGATGCAGCACATTTCTGAAGAGATGCTGATGGTGTTAAAGCAGTTCTTCCCTGAGCTGATGATGAGCACTTACTTACAGTTTGTCTATATTTTGAAACAGATGTAGGGTTGTGAGGTGGTGCTGGCTTTTTTGAAACGGGTTTTGATGCTTTGGAAAATGGCTGAACATTATTTACGGATGAATCTTTTAATTTGGTCTGGTTTCTTGTCAACTGGTCTGTAGGTAACAAATGCTTTGCTGCTTCTGAAGAAGAAAGAACTGTTGGTTGGGACAACTTACACCCTTCCTGTTTCCTATTACCTACACGAGGGTTTTTTGAAACAGAAACCATAGTAGAGAGCTTTGAACTTTGTTTATGGTATGCATCAATGGCAGAGATGGGATTCATGGGTGGAGGCTGTGGGGGTTTAGCAGATGAATCAGAAACCGTATCACCAGATGCACCTTTTTGAAATGACAAAATCTTTTGTTCCAACGTTGCAAACTGAAGCATTCGACAAGGATCATATTTGAGAAGAAAACCTTGAAGAGTATCCCATCCTCCACCAACACGTACCATCACATGTTTGCCATGTAACATCTAACAGAAGAAAATAAAAATAGTTTAATTATAACTGATTGCACTTAAGAAACATAGGTGTTGTATGAAATATTAAAATGGCTTTAACATTCAGTTTTCTCATTTGCACCAATCCCTAGAAAACAATAAAAGTCTTGTACAAACACAGACCCTAAAAAACAAGTGCAGACCAAGAGATGCAGAGGAGTACAAGCTGCCCAATATTATGGCAGCAAAGAGACAGAATGATTGCCGAATATTCCCAAACATCAGTAACAGGAGGACATTTTCAGATAGGCCATGAACTATGCAGATAATATCACTAAGGTAAGGTAGTGGCAATTAAATTATATTGTCATCTCTTGAAAAGGAATAATTTCCCACCCAATTAAGATTGATACATAAGTGACTGAGCAAAATCACTGAAAACTTATACTTACTCGAATGAACAGAATTTTGTCTCCCAATCTATAGCGCCCTTCAGACAAATACTCAATTGAAAATCTATGAGAGCAGCTACAAGGAGGATCTTCAGCAATATGCTTAACCTATATTGTACAAAGATTTTGTTATCTTAATATAATATATATTAAAAACAGCACTAAATGTGAATTAGTTTTTGGGCCTGCCTCCAAGGTGAAGTTCTGAGCCAGGATAAATTTTTTTCTCCTGATGAGAGACAGCTGGTTTCACTGTCAAAGCTGGCTCTTTGGCAGCATGCTCCCCGGTTATGAACGGGAGCTCCTAGGAATGACTCAAGATGACTCTTGGGATGACCATGAACATACCTGAGAAGAGGGCCTAGAAGGTAACAATGCTATGTGGGAGTGGTCAGAGAGCTAAGTCTCCATCGTTTTTTTGTCCACTGTCTGCTTTTTAGGAATGCCTGGATTTTAACTGCACATTTTGTTTTGGTTTTTTATATCTACTTTTAAATGTTAATATACTGTTGAATGCTGATTCAATTTAACCCCCTGCTAGATCTTAAAGTGGCTTTTTAATGTTCTTTTCATTATTTTATTAGCTGCTGTCAAATTCTGTCTCTTCTGCATGGCTCTCTTCTGTGACAAGTCATGGTCTGACAACAAAATGGTTTCACCTTTCATGCTACATCAGTTTATAAAGTCATAAAATAATAATTAGTGAATCAGATGTACAAAAATATCAACTAATTTGCTTTACTGTAATCTTGACCAACATTATAGCAATAGCACAAACTTATATAACACTTCATAGTGCTTTCTAAGCGGTTTACAGAGTCAACATATTGCCCCTAACAATCTGTGTCCTCATTTTACCAATCTCAGAAGGATGGAAGCTGAGTCAACCTTGAGCTGCTCAGAATCGAACTCCTGGAGTGAGCAGTGAGTAGCCTGCAGTACAGCATTCTAAACACTGTGCCACCACAGCTCATTAATAGATAGATTTTTGATTGGAATGAGATTTGCAGACACTTGGGCTAGGTTCATATTTTATACTGAACATGGTTTGCCTGACTATGATTTATAAGATAAATCAAAATTTTCTGTTTTTGTCCAAATGTTATTACAGTTAATAAACACTGTTTATGACTTGGCCTGCATAATATGTTATTCCAAATCAAGCAAACTTGGACATAGCATGATCTATTCATTCAAAATATCAAGAAAGTTTGCCTAATTCACCACTGCAGTTCTTCAGGTTACAGATTCCAGAAATATTTATAGTTTCATAGGCATAAATATGCATGCTACTTACTGCTTCATGTAATTCTCCATGCTGACAGCACGATTTGTAGGAAACTATAGGGGCTATACTATCAGAGGACATCAACAAAGTTTCTTCCAATTCAATTTCCTTCTCTAACTTTACTAATACTGGTGGTTCCACTCCATGTCTATAAAAAGAAAAATGTATAAAATACTACATTTAGAATTTTAGGAAAATTCTAAGACAATAACCATAGGGTGAGAGTGGTTATTACACTGAGTACTTTTGGGAATAAGGGTTGAACACAGGAATAAAACATCCTATTGTCCTATGGGTTACTAGCTTCTTTGGTAAAACTTTCTCTGTGGAACAATGATAGTAGAAGTCCTTTCATTATCTCACCCAATGGCAAAGGAAAACTTCCTTAGGTGGAAAATGCAAAATATCCTATGACACCTGGACTGCTTTGCTAGGGAATATAGGTGTATACCTGAATGGTTGTGTTTTCATAACACTCTTAACTTCAATGAGATTTATCAATTAACCCAATTTTCAGCACTCAAATACAAAAATGTAAACTAATCAAGCACTAGTTAAAATGCACTAGGTTAGTTTGTAATACCATGTTTTCTTAGGAAAATAGCCAATCTCTGCTGCGAAAAACTCTAAGAACCTTTGGGGAGACTCACAATGCATTCAAAGCATCTACTTGGAGAAAGGAATGAATACATACCTTGATACAATCCGACCAATTTCCAGTAAGCAAAGGTACACTTGTCTTGGGTTTTTATGCAGCACTGTCAAAAAAAAAATTAGTGCAGGTAAGGAAAAGAAATTAGTTTAATTATTAAACCTAGATCACTTGCCTACATTCAACGGCATGGATCAAAATTTGCAACACATACAACTTGTATGTAAATGTGTAAGTCTATACCAGCAAGCTCTTTTCTAATTTACTGCCTGGTGTATCCTTGCTTGGCATCCAGACCTTTCTTTAGTGGTCATTGATTTGGAAATCTACCAGTGCATTTATTTATGTATTTATTGAAAACATTTATATATAATTCCATCTTTTAAACAACTCTGGGACGCTCTCAATCAATTAAAACAACATATAAAATACTATCAAACTATAAAAACATTAAAACAAACCCTAATTAGAAATCAAACTTCTAATATACAATCATTCAGTCTTATCCCAGCTCTTCCGGGAAAGGGCCAGGTATTCAAAGCTTTATGGAAGGCTAGGAGAGAGGCCTGACAAACTTCAGGAGGCAGAATCCTTTCCCAAATTGTCACCTTCTGTGGCAGAGCAGAAAAGTGAGTCCTAGATGCTGTTCTGACTTTTCCATTTATCTGAAACCCTCTAGGAATTCTCAACTCCCACTTTGAAAAATCCTGCTTTATCCTATGTGATCCCTTCTTTCAAAAATTCTCAGCTTTGAGGAAAAATGCATTCAGGATGTGTAATAGAATGGATGCATATTCATAATTTTCATAGGTATTTAGTGTACATAGTATAGCATTTTAAATGTTTAAAACAGAAGGCAGTATAATCTGGGCAATACAAGCAGAGGAATGCTTGAGACATTCAGTTTGAGTTAAAAACTTGGCATTATAATGGCAGGATCAATTACCAGATTTATCTAAGAAATAAACTGCATAAAATATGGAAAACTGAGAATCAGGTGTGAGGCTTTTTTTTTTTTCAGAAGAGTCAAGCTTTCTTTTTCTTTCACCAAAAGAGCAGGAACAATGAAGCAAGTTTGGACAGTTTACTTTTCAAAGCAAAACTATCAATTTCTTTAAAATAAATCTGATTAATCAGAACTTAAATAGACTTGCTCATTGAATGTTCCGCTCTTGATTACTGTGAGAGAGTTTGGATAACCTGTATCATATTAATATGGTCCGGCCCCTGTGATGAGGCACATCTCACCCAGCTCAACATTATCTACAAGTTGCTTATGGCAGGTATACACTGCAAAGGGAACTTAGCCTCTTTCTAAACTTTTAAAGATTGAATGGCATTTGTAACAATGAATGCAGTGAAACTCTTTTGAGACCCATATGCCCCCTTCATGAATATTGTCTAGGCACAAACCCACTCTCTATTTCACCCCCACAAGCTTACAAAAGGGTCCTTGCAGATCTTTGCCAAGAACACACAAAGCATATATTCATGCCACAAAACCAGCTACTGTAATCAGTAACCACTTTCGAAGCATTCTGAATTGTGCCCTTAAAACTGCATTATTATACAGGCTTGGTGAACCTACACCCTGTTCCCTTTACAGAAAAAATTAACTGAATGTAGATTAAAATATGGTGCATAGGAGATAGATGAATCTTATTGTTCTTGGATGACATTGTGTCTTATAAACACTTTCCTGTTATATTGAAAAACTGTCTACAAACTGAATATTGCCATACCTTTAACAATTCTGAATATTTTTTAAATTTAAACACACCACATCATGCAAAGCGAATACATAAAGAATACTCTTCAAAAAGAATATACAATACCAACAATTTAAGCCATGATTTTATATAGGCCTAGGACTTACAGCTATGTCTATCTATTTTTAAAAGAGACAATGCTAAAAACCTAATTAACAATACATCTTCAAGCTATTTTTCTTAATGAGCACTACAAGATTTTAGTCCATCTGGAAAAATCTGGTCTGGCAGCTGCTGGTTATAAGATCCAACCTGAAACAAGAAGAGATAGGCAGTCCAATCCTTGATGTGGAAACCTAACAACAGATTTTGTTAGGATGAGTAAAAAACTGAGAGTAACAGTTAGCATAGTTAACAGTTTGTACTTTTATATAAACTGTTAACTTCTATAAAGTTAGAAAGAAGTAATAAGGGTAGAATCCAAGACTTGAAGCAAAAGATTATCAACAGATTAACCGTTAACATTAACTTCTTTATTCAATTACATTTAATAAAGCCATTATCACATCAACATATTCCAAAAATATCGGAATAACCTGATACAAATTCATCTTGCAAAAATCAGACAATCCCAACATTTTTTGAAAAAAAAACCCTCTTAATTCTGTTGGAAAGGTATAATTATAAAACTTGTCAAACTAAAATTTAAAACTTTTATAGTAACTTCTATTATCAGAAAGCACCCCCCCAAAAAAAGTTGTTTTAATAGTTCAGTCCAAGAAATATTTTGCCCTGTTTAGCGTTTGCATTTCTACATGTTTTTAACAGAGTTTATAGCACTTAGCCTTATATACCACTTTATTGTGCTTTACAGCCCTCTCTAAGTGGTTTTACAGAGTCAGCATATTGCCCCCAACAATCTGGGTCCTCATTTTACCCCCAGAAGGATGGAAGGCTGAGTCAACCTTGAGCCTGGTGGGATTTGAACTACCAAATTGCAGGCAGCCAATAGTCAGCAGAAGTGGCCTGCAGTACAGCACTCTAACCACTGCGCCAGCAAGACTCTTGAAACATATTTTTCCAATACAGAAGGATCTCATTTATACAAACACCTCTTGTCTTTTAAATTTAGAAGTGAATAATAGCCTATATAAGAAATTAGTTTAATATAATTCAACAAAACAATGCAAAAAAGCAACAAAAGTTACCTAAGCCTTCAGATTCAAAAAGATAAGTCTCATCCACTCCAATGCACCTACACCAATTCAGAAAGTTCGCTGTGTTATCTCTGGCAAAGAAAGATCCTGATGGAGCATCTTTTTTACAGGGGACTTTTCTCAGAGGGAAATTCTGGAAAGTAATGCAGAAATTTTAACAGGAAAAAATCCAAAACATTCACAAAAGCTTTTTCTAGAGTAGAACCAGTAAGAAAAATGGGGTTCCTTCTCCCCCCCCAAAAAAAGATTACATTTCAAAAGAAATTAATCTCAGCTATATATAAATAACCAATGGGAAAATTTGTTTAAAATAGTATTGTTGAGGACTCAGCTAAGAGGCAAAAAAGGCCACACACCAAACTGTGGCATTCGCCTTTAGCTGTCAGAAAAAAAGTAGATGACCCATTTACTTAGCTGAAAACATGGCTTGAAAGATACTTCAAATATATATAAAATATATATAAATACTGGCAAAAGATACAAGGGCAATAACATGTATCACATGAATACCCAGAACAAACCCTCCAGGATATTTATATCCAAAATACTGCTTCAGTATTTTAAAATTAGAACAAATCTGTCAGCAGCTTGAACATATGATTCACATTTTTCTAATGAATTCCAAGTCATGTACAGTTTTAATCAGCAGACTTTCATCTTTCAAATTACTTTTCCTTTTTCACAGAACCTAATCTGAGGCACAGCTTTCATGTATTCTGTACCATCTCAAGCCACTGTATGTATTATCCAAATAATATTTTGTCTGTTCATAATTCACCTAGTGCATCTAATTTGTGTAACTTTTCCTCCAACTTTTCACCATAGCCATGGTTTACATTCAACAATTCTTTCAGCATTCTTTTATGATAGATCACCTGACTCCCCAACTTCAAAAGTCCTAAGCGCCAATATCTGTACCAGCTGTAGCACTTCCTATTTTCAGAACTCCTGCACTACACTTCATGTTTACCAGAAATCTTGTTCAATAAATATCATCCTAAACCAGCTGACTGTTATATGTAGATTTCTCATGCTCTGAAGACACAAAATGTATTAAGTAACATTAAGCTATCCCTGGGGCAAATGTATGTGGTTCATTAAAGTGGGAATATGCCCATTTACACAACACATTAATCCAAAGCAATACCAAACTACTCACGGACTTAGAGCACTGAACCAGATCAGTATGTCCCAGAATTCTAAAAACGTAGGTGAAGGCGTTCTAATATTCTTGCTTTATTTCCCAGTTAATTCACATAACAAATTGAGATACACATGCTTATTGTAGTATGGGGTGAACATAATAGCATAAAGCAGAGGATGAATTGCAAGAATTGCTATCTGAATGCATTAATTAAACATAGGATAATATTAAAATTAAAGTAGCATTGTTATTAGGGTGAAATATTCAGCACCATACTATTTTATGCAAGAACATTATGGCTGCTTCCACACATTTGAAAAAAAAAATGAACTGTAGTACATAGGATTTTTGTTTAACATTCTTAAACTACACTTCTCAAAAAAATAAAGGGAACACTTACACAACACAATGTAACTCCAAGTCAATCACACTTCTGTGAAATCAAACTGTCCACTTAGGTAGCCACACTGAATGACGATCAATTTCACATGCTGTTGTGCAAATGGAATAGACAACAGGTGGAAAGCATAGGCAGTTAGCAAGACATCCCCAATAAAGGAGTGGTTCTGCAGGTGGTGACCACAGACCACTTCTCAGTTCCTATGCTTTCTGGCTGATGGCTTGGTCAATTTTGAATGCTGGTGATGCTTTCACTCTAGTGGTTGCATGAGACGGAGACTACAACCCACACAAGTGGTTTAGGTAGTGCAACTCATCCAAGATGGCACATCAATGCGAGCTGTGGCAAGAAGGTTTGCTGTGTCTGTCAGCATAGTGTCCAGAGCATGGATGCGCTACCAGGAGACAGGCCAGTACACCAGGAGACGTGGAGGAGGCCGTAGGAGGGCAACAACCCAGAATCAGGACTCCACCTTTGTGCAAGGAGGGACAGGAGGAGCACTGCCAGAGCCCTGCAAAGTGACCTCCAGCAGGCCACAAATGTGCATGTGGCTGCTCAAACGGTCAGAAACAGACTCCATGAGGGTGGTATGAGGGCCCGACATCCACAGGCGGGGGTTGTGCTTACAGCCCAAGATTGGCAAATTCGCCACTGGTACCCTGTGCTCTTTACAGATGAAAGCAGGTTCACACTGAACACGTGACAGGGTCTGGAGTTCTTCTGCCTGCAACATCCTCCAGCATGACCGGTTTGGCAGTGGGTCAGTAATGGTGTGGGGTGGCATTTCTTTAGGGGGCCACACAGCCTTCCATGTGCTCGCCAGAGGTAGCCTGACTGCCATTAGGTACCAAGAGGAGATCCTCAGACCCCTTGTGAGACCATATGCTGGTGCAGTTGACCTTGGGTTCCTCCTAATGCAAGACAATGCTAGACCTCATGTGGCTGGAGTGTGTCAGCAATTCCTGCAAGACGAAGGCATTGATGCTATGGACTGGCCCACCCGTTCTGCAGACCTGAATCCAATTGAGCACATCTGGGACATCATGTCTTGCTCCATCCTTAACCCTAACTGCTCCATCCACCAACGCCATGTTGCACCACAGACTGTCCAGGAGTTGGGAGATGCTTTAGTCCAGGTGTGGGAGGAGATCCCTCAGGAGACCATCCACCACCTCATCAGCATGCCCAGGCATTGTAGGGAGGTCATACAGGCATGTGGAGGCCACACACACTACTGAGCTACATTTTGACTTGTTTTAAGGACACTGATAGTTGGATCAGCCTATAGTGGTTTTTTTTTCCACTTAATTTTGAGTGTAACTCCAAATCCAGGCCTCCATGGGTTGCTAAATTTGATTTCCATTGATAATTTTTGTGTGATTTTGTTGTCAGCACATTCAACTGTGTAATGAACAAAGTATTTAATGAGAATATTTCATTCATTCAGATCTAGGATGCCTTATTTTTGTGTTCCCTTTATTTTTTTGAGCAGTGTATTTACATTTGTAGAAAAGCAATGTAATATATTCATTTGAGAGGAAGACTAAATTCCTCTCTACTCAGTAATTTATATTTAAAATCTGGAAATAATCTTAGATTTACTAAGATATATTAGTAGAGAATATTTTTGTTAATGTTTAAAACTTACATGCAGGATTGTCTTCCTTTCAGGTAAGTACAAGCACATTTAATAGGATAATCTTGCTCCATTAATTTAAAGAAAAGTTAATTGCTTTTTTTAAAAAATAAACTTACTTTTAAATCATTTGAGTTACTTTTAACAATGCTTTGAATAACTCCAATCAAAATGCATAGCAGTACCCCGTTATCAAGTTCTTCCAATAAATGCTCTGCTTTTAGTTCAATACCTATAGAAAAGCCATGATTTTCATTAGTAGAGAAAAGATAAAACTCAAACTGATAACTTAGATATAAACATAGCTGCAATCTAAATCAACTGGGAAATACAGTTTATTTATTTATTATTAAATTTACATCTCGCTATTCAAGCCTCTGTAACACTCCACCAGCTGATAGAAACGGCTTTGTGGCGAGAGGAGTGTGCGTGGGGCGCTCGCCCTGAGGCCACTTCTACCGGCTGATAGAAGCGGCTGGTGACTCTGCCTTTGGGGAACTTGTATCGGCCAACAGAAACGGCTTAGTGGTGAGGGCAGTATGCGTGGGTGCTCATCCTGAGGCCGCTTCTAACAGCCGATAGAAGCGGCTGGTGACTACCCCTTTGGGGAGCTTCCATCAGCTGATAGAAACAGCTGGTGACTCTGCCTTTGGGGAGCTTCTATCGGCCAACAGAAATGGCTTCATGGCGAGGGGAGCCTACGTGGGGCAGCCACGCCTCGCCCTGAAGCAGCTGGTGACTGCCTTTGGAGTGCTTCCATCAGCCGATAGAAATGGCTTCGTGGCGCGGGGAGTGCGCTTGGGTGATCGCCCCAAGGCCACTTCTACCAGCCAACAGAAGTGACTGGTGACTCTGCCTTCGGGGAGCTTCTATTGGCCGATGTTTATCAGTAGTAGATTGGGCTATTCTAGCCTAGGCTACCTGCAGGGCGCTCCTAAAGGCAAGTTCTCTCCCTCCCCTTCCCCCCCATTTCTCTTCACCTCGTGTAGTTTTAACGAACAATGTGAGAAATGGCAGGGAAACGCATGGATTAAATAAGCCTAAATTTTGGGGGCGGGACTTAATTTCACCTCATGCCTAGAAATCATGCTGGGCCTTCTTATTGGTAGAGGCCATATTGTTGGAGGAACACGGTAATTAGGAAAAATATTGAACCTCATACTAGTCAATCTTTCAAAAAGGAGACATGCATTTTAAAATTGTTTAGGGTAAAGCAGTATTATGTACTCAACAAATGACTAGACTTCTATAAAAGGAGAAACGGTAAAATTAGTGGTTGTAACTTCTAAAAGCATGAAGTCTAAATCTAGCTTGAGCCCATATCTATTTCTGTAGTAATTACATGGTTCTTCAAACAAACCTAATAAGCCAGATAGCCAGATAGCCAGATCCTCTTGCATAGGAATCAAAGTTGCTTCATGTCGGACAGATATCCATTGGTCATATAGTAACACATCAGCCAGGCCAGGGCCATGCCTTGGAGTCAGTGGACTGCGTGGACTGACAGGTAAATCATCTCCAAACCACACCTAAGGTACATATCAACAAGACTGATTACAATTTCAGCACAATGCAACAACTGATCATAGTTTCAATCCATTATCAATGTCTTTAAAAATGTAAAGTTCATAACAATGTAATATATGTTCTCCAAATGATTCACTATTATTTTGGAGTACTGCAGCTCTATTAGAAGCTGAATTTGGCTTGTACAACCCATCTAGATTTTTTTTACAAAACAAGCATAAAGTTCCATTAGAGTTGAACATTAAATCTAGTCAGTTATGTTCTTCAGATACGTATCAGAAAGTAGGAAAATATTTAACAGATATAGATGTAAATATTTCAGTTTGCCTACCTGAACTGTATGTTGCATGATAACTTGTTGTTCCCAGGAATGAGGGGGGGAAAAAGAGAAAAAGGTGTCAAATTGTACTTTGTTTATTTTCCTTCATTTATCTATAACACTGAAAAGACAGATTAAGAAAAAGTAAAGCAGTACTGATTATCCAAAATTGGGGTTGTACTTTATTTCCAATATTGAATATAACCTTTGTTTCAGCTTTCATGCTCAGTATCTCTATGATCCTTATAACAACATTCCATGTTTTTATATATCAAAAGTGGATTCACGTCTTGGCAAATATGAGTAAAAAAATCAAATGATGCATTACAGTAGACAAGCCTAATTCATATGTGTAAATATTCCCTCCCATTTTATATTTCCAGCAAAATGACATTGATTTCTACACTTCTTAAAACTGTCTCTGGAATGTTAAATGAACATGAAAACATCCTCCAGTAAAAAAAGCATTTTTAAAGATCTTTAGCCATTATTTTATTAATATGAGATATTTTAGCTCTTTTTTCATAGTGTTTGCAAATAACTAACATCCATCTTAGTAATAACTTTCAAATAGTTTAAAAACTTACTTGGTAATCGACTGATTAATACCAATACTTGCCCCAAAGTCATTGATCTACAGATTAATTATGGGATTATTACAAAATGTAAAAATGGCATATGAATAAGAATTGAAATTGAAGGAGTCATAAAACAGTTTCCAGTTTTTCTTATGTGAAATGGTTGCCCTCTTTCACTAGGCACACAGCTTCCAGAGGGATGCAGTGAAAGGAACAGAGGCCGGTCAGACAGACAGAGTTGAAGCAACTCTGGCAATCAGTGGGGTGACAGGTGTCACAGAAATATCGTTATCATATCTATTCCTACTCACTTGCTTGAGTTCCATAAATAAACTGATGTCAAATTACATGACTTATTGCAAATTTGAAATTTAGATAAGGAAAATCTAAGAGTCTGTGCTTTCCATTGAAAATTATCAATTCTATAGATGTAGTTAATTAAAATGTTAGCATAGGAATAATTCTAGGTATATCAGTATGAAATAACATCCAGTGCTTGCTCGTTAGTTTTTCATACATTTTAAACATTGTTTATATTTTTACATTTATCTCAGTTTTTTAAAAATGATAATACAGTTGCCTCAAAGGAAGAACATTTCCTCAACTACTGGCAAAGAATAGAAAGAATTCAAACTGCAATTGAAATCTGAATTGTTACAAATTTCCATAGAAACACTTAAAGCATGAGACTTCAATCAATTGAATAATTAATACTGTATGGGGGGAAAAATCTGCACTGCGAACAGTTGCATTGCAATGCAAATCCTACTGTATGACATTATTTAGAACAAAAACTACCTTGTAAATTTCATTTTAAAATAATCTTCAAATCACATACAGAAAAAAGTTCACTTGCATACCAATATTGATAAAGTAGTAAATTTAAAGTTACATCAAAAATCTCAGTTTCTAGCTAGCTGGAAACACAGATCCTAAACAAATGCCACCATTTATTACTTGAACATAAGAAACTCACGTCCTCCTGATATTTCTCTCCTTTATTCTACACAAAAAAGGCAGAAAGTAGAACAAGTCTTTACTAACTAATGTATTCAGCTTCCCACAGTGAGTACCAGGGAATAAAGTTCATTTACATAAAAAGCCCTTTGTCTTAATAGGCCAAAGTAAGGGGCTTCATTGACATTTTAGAAGGAAAAAAAAACATGATGGCAACAGCTACCAAAAATACTGCTCTCATTAAATGATGGAACACTTACACATTTGAACAAGGCCCTTAACAAGCCAATTGCCACAGTAATAAAAAGACTGCCCAATATGCAAGGCAGACTATCAGCTTGAACAAAGGGAAATATTCAAAAAAAGAACTATTAAAAGAATGTTCAGCATCTTCATTTTTCAAGAATGCCACACAAAGCCTGCCTATTCTGGAAAAAGACTACACACTTGAAAGAAAATGTCAGAAGATTTTAATATCAGCTCACTTCATAGTATTACATCTGTCTTTGGAATCAATTAAAATACAATTATGAAGCTCACAAATTGATGGCTAGAATTTTGCTTCTCACATTACAGATTTATTAACTGAATTTACATACCAAGTTAAGCTGTGGACTGACTGATTTTTTTTATGGAATAAGCTACAGTGTTTCAGGTCACAATTCAATAAGCCAAAACAGAAATCTCATTACAGCTGACTACAGGTAGTCTTTGATTTACGAACATAATTGAGCCCAAAATTTATGTTGCTAAGAGAGACCATTGTTAAGTGAGTTTTGTCATCTTACAATCTTTTTTGCCACAGTTGTTAAGTGAATCACTGCAGTTGTTAAATAAGTACCATGGTTGTTAACTGAATTTGTTTTACCCATTGGCTTCGCTTGTCAGAAGCAGAGGTGGTTTTCAGCAGGTTTTGAACAGTTCTGGAGAACTGGTAGAATAAATTTTTAGTTCAGAGAACTGGCAAATACCACCTCTGACTGGCCCCGCCCCCATCTACTCTCTGCCTCCTGAGTCCCAGCTGATCGGTTGGGTCTTCTTTTGTTACCCTGCACAGGAGAATGGAGTTGGAAAGCAGGTTAGTGGGGTGGGAAGGGAATGGGATTTTGCAGTAACCTTCTCCCAGGAATGGGAAGGGAATGAAGATTTTACAGTATCCTTCTCCTGCCACGCCCAAGCCACGTCCACAGAACCGGTAGTAAAATTTTTGAATCCACCATTGGTCAGAAGGTTGCAAAAGGTGATCACGTAACCTTGGGATATCGCAACCATCATAATTATGAGTCAGTTGTCAAGTGTTTGATGTTGCAGTGCTCATAAATGTGAAAAATTGTCAGAAGTCACTTTTTTCAGTGCTTTGAATGGTCATTAAATAAACAGTTGTAAATCGAGGACTACCTGTACAATGTGGCTTGCATTTTCTGGCTGAATGGGACCTTTTCTATGTTTCAGGACTTAACTTGTTTGAATCTATCAAATTGAGGATTGGGAACAAATAAGGAGTGTGTACATGCCTTTTCACCCTGGTTTTCTTTTTTTCTCCCTTTGGCCTTTAAAGGAGACTTGCAAAGAACAGATTTATAGTTCAATAATCACAGGAAATTGTGGTTTAAGAAAACCAGGAAGTCTTCTGTGGGAAAAAATAAGAAGAAAAAAGATATACAAGTATTAAGTTTGTTCCTTGTTTTCTTTCATAAAATGGTTGAATTAGGATTGGGATATCTGAATACAAAATATACTTCAGTTCATACATCACAGACATTATGATTTATAAATCATAGCTTATGACATTACATGAGAAGCAGACTACATGGCTTGTTTAACCAATTCTAAAATAAATCATGGATTAAAATACATAACCCCAGTCATAATATAATCCTGTGTATATACTTGTGTAGAAATGCTACTGAATTCAATGGGCCAACTATAAAGCAAGTAGGAACAGAGCTGCATGTGATAATTTCAGATAATAATTCTACCTTGTAGTATTCAGCTAAATCTTTTCAATGCTATTTGAATATTACAAGGGATGCATATTAATTTATTGTACAATTAGAACACTAGCAATGATCTTTCAGGACCAGAAAATATATATTTTCTTAAGAGGAGTTCTTGTCTTAACAATTATTTCAACACTAGTTAGAAAAGGGGAGAGGACACTTGGGCATTTAAACCAACAAAATTATCTTTCCAAAGGAAACACTACTTAACCTTGTGGAAGTTGAGGAAAAGATTTTTTTTTAAGGAGTACACAGGTTTCAATATTTTGATTGTTCTTCTGAGACCCTTCCTGCTATTTTAACACTTTAAAGTTTAGCCTTCAAATTTTAAACTGAAAGGATATTTTAAATTATTTGGGGTTCACATCTCTGAACCTCTAGGGCTGAATGCAAAGTAGTTTTACAATCAAAGAAAACAACTTCATTAATTTGTACAGGACACTACAACTGTAGTGAGGGATGAGTGCTTCACCCTCAGGTGAATTATTACAGAAATTATATGCATAACCACATATATATAATTATGTATGTGATGTTAGTAACACGCCTTATAATTACATTCCATTTTTAAGGTTAATATATAAAACCATGATTACTTTACACCAGTATTTTTCAAACTTCATCCATGCTGGCTGGGGAATTCTGGAAATTGAAATTCACAGACTTAAGCTTGCCAATTTTGAAAAACACTGTCTTACATCGTTTGAAAATTACTAGAAGACCATATAATGTTGAATTCAGAACTTGCAAACTCCAAAGTCAGCCAGGGTAAGGAACAATTTGCCACAGGTTGTTATATTGTGTCACATCCTTTCATTGTTTTTGAGTTTCAGTTAATTTGAGTATTCATGCCATTGGCAAAATGCGGTAAAAAAGTCAGCATAGCTTCTATTTCAAGTTTTCCTCAACTTGGTTCCCTGTTGGACTATAGCTCCTATTTTTCAAAAATACCTGCCGGAATGAGGGCTGAGGTTGCAGAAAGCCGTTTCCTCCGGGCGAGCAAACTGCTGGTCAAGACTGTATGTGCGTCACTGCAACAGAGAGCAAGCGCTGAACTGATATTGTTCCCCTTTCCTGGATAAATGGCCAGCACTTTTCCATAGCCCTATCCCAAGGAAGCAAGGAAACAGCATTAGCGCCTTGAGGTTTAAGGCAATGCATCCCCTTCTATGGCACAGGGAACTCTACTGAGCCATAAACAACCAACCATGCTTCAGCCCAGTAGGTTGTGATCTGTCCCAAATCTGCTTCGGGGACCTACTGCGTTTCAACCAGGAGAAATCGCACCTCAATCAAACAATCTTCTATCTAGCGGGGAAACTTGGAGATACTTACGGGAAAGCCCAGAGTCAGAACCCCCCACGCATCCTCTGCCGGGGGAGGCACACGTGAGATTGCGGCAGCGGCAGGGAATCCTCTCGAGCTCCAGCGCTCCCTGATTCATTCGGCCGCGTCCGCTCGCAACAATTCGAAAGGCCCAATCAGCTGACGCGAGGCGGGGCCCAGGCCGCCGAGGCGGCGGCTGAGGCGAGAAAGGGGAGGGAGAGCGAGTTTTCGGGATGGGTAGGGGACGGATGCTTGTCCTCGGGCAGGATTCAAACGGAAGGGATGCAGCGGTCGTGTGTGTTGGGGGGCGGGGGGGGGGATCCTGCTGCCGTGAGTGTCAGGCGACAGTCACCACGGATTATTGTGTGGGCCGAGTGTTGATATCTCCTCAGCTGAAGGAGAAGGCAGGGGATGTGCGGCAATTGGGGCAGCGCTTGCCAAGGCTTTGCCTCTCTCTGCTACAGCCTGCTTTGGAGTCCGGCCGCGGTTTTTAGGATTTAACTCTCCTCTGTATGCTTCGGGGGGAAAACATTAAAGTTTCAACACCCAGCAGCCTAACTAGAAAAGTCAGTGTGGAGTCAGAGAAATAGATTAAGAGCACAATTAAAGGTTCCTTCTTTTTCGGTATAAAATATGTGGTAACACAACCCTACACACATTTATGGCTGTGCTTGCCACAGAATAAACTAAGTCTTGATTAACAAATGCACTGGATAGGTCAGCTTGGAATACAGTACAGGTAGTCCTCCACTTAACTATGACAATTGTGGCCAAAATTTTTGTTGTTAAGTGAGATGTTTCTTAAGTGAGTTTTACTCCATTTTACGACCTTCCTTGCTAAAGTTGTTAAGTGAATCACTGCAGTTGATAAGTTAGTAACTGGTTATTAAGTGAATCTGGCTTTTCCATTGACTTTGCTTGTCAGAAAGTCACAAAAGGAGATCACGTGACCCTGGGAGAAACAGCAATGGTCATAAGTGTCTTTGGGGATTCTCAATCATCCAGATCATGGTTGTTCCAAAGGTGCTGTTTTCAAGAGGCAACTGGACTTTCTTATTTTGCTTTTCATCCAAGAAGAGCTGAAGAAGCATCTTGGATGAGAAGCAAAATGTTTTCAAGAAAAACAAGAAAATCCACTTGCCTCTTTGGGACAATACTCATAAATATGAACCAGTTGCCAAACATCTGAAGTTTGATCACACGATAATGGGGATGCTTCAAAGGGTGTAACTGGAAAAATGGTCATAAGTCACTTTTTCAGTGCTGTTGTAACTTTGAACAGTCACTGGTGTAAGTTGAGGACTACCTTTATTGTATGCTGTATCATGTATTGCCTAAATCAGGAGTGTGAAACTCAATTTTATTGAGGGCTGCATCAGCATTGTGTTTGACCTCGAGGGGGGATGTGGCCGGGGGCATGGCCAGGCAATGTCACTCATCAAGGCTTCGTTGTCAGTCATGACGGCCTTTCCAGGCTCCATTTTTGGCTGCAACGTCCTCCTGCAGCCCTCTGCCAACGAAAATGGAGCTCGGAAAAGCCCTCCTGAGTTATGTTTTCACTGGCAGAGGTACTGCAGGCCGGTCCTTTGCTGTTTAAAGGGTGGGCCCGTGGGCCAGATCTAAGCACCCCGCGGGCCAAATCTTAAGTTTGACACCCCTGGCCTAGATCATTCTTTTGGTGTTATCTTTTTGGCTTAGCTTGATTGTGGACTCAAGTTTTGTGGTTTATTAACGATGGTTCATACTGTAGTTTAGTGTTTTATATAGACAGGTGCAGCCTATCTAGAACTCACTATCCTATTCTACATGGAGACCACTTTTGGACTTCTTTCTTCAGAAAGAGAATAAGTGGTTATTTTATATAGGTTTAGTTTTTCATTTAATTTTTATATTGTTGTTTTTGTTTTAAATTAGAATAAGGGGGTTACTTTATTGTAAATTTATACTGAAAAAAGTCATAACTAATTTTTGTATTTTTTTGTTTTCTCTTGTGACTTTTTAAACTTCCCCCCGATCGCCTTCGTGTTTCTTTTAATTTTTTTTTAATTTGTATTTTATCTTTTCAAAAAACTTAATAAAGTTGGCTTTAAAAAACCTTTGTGGCACAAACCAAACAATTCCTTGCTCTCTGCTGTGGTAAAGCTAACCGACAACAGGATTTAATTTAACATATAGTGGGGAAAAGCCATTGTGGTGTCTCAGCCCTAGTCTGTAATTCTGTAAATCTGCCCAGTTGTGAGTTAGTTAAAAAACATGGTTAAGCAAGCAACAGTGTAGTATAGCATGTGGACTAGTGTGGCCACTGTTATGAACCAGAAAAAAATATTTTCATGTAGGAGTGGTCAGCACTGATGCTAACCATCCTCAGTACACACATTGTGTTATGTAGTTATAGAGTTACTTTATTCAGGAGAAAAATAAGTTTATTTTACCCAGGCAAACAGGGGAGGAAAAGATTAGTGATAAAGAGAACCATTTAAAATAATCAGGAAATCTAAATTCCTGCAGATACACACCTTACTGATGAACAGTATGGATGTCCTTGAAATTTGCCAGTACTTGGGAAAGAGTGTTTGGAGATTTAACCATTTTTCCAATATTTCCAGTTTTTCTTTTCTTTCCCTGTCAAATTTTCTTTCCTCTCCTTATCTCTATCTCATTTTCCCCTTTTTGTCATTCTCTGTGCATCTATTTAATCCCCTTAATTCATATCCATTCTATTTCTTTGCTCCTTTGAAACTGGGGAAGGTAATGTAAGGTTCTGTGTAGGGTAATGGTTAATTTCTGTGGATGGAGGTGGAAGGTCCATTAAGTTTCCTCTTAAGGAATTTATTTGAGTCAATGCGATTAATTCAGTTAAACTCTCCTGCTTTGGATTTTGGCTTGTGAAAGATACACACATGTATGTATGCATACACATATAAATATATAAGTGAGTCACAAGGCATATAGTTATGAATGGGAGACTGGCTTCACTTAGAGTGGGTAGACTTAGATTAACAAGGCACTGTTTGGGTTATCTGTGTTTATTTTTTTCTAGATATTCATTTTGGGATCAGGTTAAATATGATGATATTTTCATAAATAGTATTATTGGTTTGGTTTAATTGGGCTGCAAAACTGGAGCTTTCTACATCTCTTTGCTGGTGTTTGTCCAGATTTGCATAGCCCAGAAATGGCAGTGCTAGTTTAGGATTTGGTTTTTAAGCCGTGTTTAATAAGCCATAATTGGCACAGTATAGCACAGGTTAGCACAATAACTTAACCAGATAAATTGATTCTGTATTTTTTATGGAATGGTGGGTAGATCTGAGCCTCTTCTTCAGATGATTCTTATTATTTGATTTTTATCCCACATATAAAAATAATAAACACAGGTATGAACACTTTCTCCTTCAGTTTTCTCCAATAAGATAGCCTGAAAGTAAGCTGGACCAAAAAATGGTTAGTGGCCTAAAGTCAACCTGGGAATTTCTACAGTAGAGGTAGAATTGATAAGTCACTTCAATTCAAGTCACTCATAATTTTTTTTAACCAAAACTCCAGTAGTGTTTTCAATCTTTTCTTTTTCTTCTGCCTAAAAATAACAGATTTAAATAATTAAACAATTGGCATATTATGATATTCTCTTTGATGGGCAACTAGATCTATATTCTCTTTAAGGTTATTTTTATATTCAAAGAAAAGCTGTCCTTCTCCAGTCAATGAACACTGCCTTCCATAGTTACTCTTCTCTGGGGAAAATAGGAAATTTCGATTCTTTCAAATTATGCTCTGCCCAGTGCTCAGTAAGTCTTTGAGCCAATTCCCAGTTTGCAGACCTGAATCAATGTGTCTCTGAATGTGAAACTGTTGTGGCCTGTCGGCCGCTCCATCCAACAGCCAAATCAGAGGAGTTGGAGGAGGTGTGGGAGTCAGGGTCAGCATCAGGGCAAAAGGTAATGGCAGAGAGAGAGAGAGAGAGAGAGAGACAGAGGCGGCCGCTGGGCTATCCGTCAGCCCTCAGATGGAGAGTCAATAACCCCCAGGTCTGGAGGTGGTTGATGAAGGAGAGAAACAGCTGGGTCTAGTGCCTGATGCATGGCTGCACAGAAGGCAGAGAAGGGGAGAGCCATGGAAAGCCGTGGGCCGATCCTGGGGAAGAAAGAGCCACTGCTGCTAACGAGGCCCCACCCTAGCTGGGGGTGGAGATGAATACATGTGGCAGACAACTATTCATCTTCCGGCTGGACAGACTTGTTAGCTTGCGAAAGAAACTTTTTGTCAGGGCTGCTGGTATTCCTAATAAAGACATCTTTTGAATTCATGTCAGAAGGTTTATCATGTTTGGGGAGCTGGGTCAAAACCAGGGGTGGGATGCTACTGGTTTGGCCTGGCTCTATAGAACTGGTAGCTGCGAAGAGCAGCTGACATCGAACCGGTTCAGTGTTTGGCCCATCCACCATCCTGGGCTCTAGGCTGTTGTTTATTCCCTGCTTTTCCCTCTGTTTGGAATGTAAGTCACCTAACAGTTGGGTTGGAAAATATATAAACCAGGGTAGACATTTTAATACTGTCTTTTTAAGGGAATGCTAAAATTGTGGTTGTGGGTATGGTACCTCAAACGGCCATAAGTTGGAGCCAGAAACCTGGGTTGTTCTATTTTGTTG